TCACCCATCTCTCTTCATTACTGTAGGATTACGGTAGAAACTTGAAACATATGGTGTCAATGTGGAAAAAGCTGTCGCTTCAAAATTTTTCAAAAAATTGTGAAAGTTTGTGTAATAGGGTTTTTATAGACGCTGAGTTCAATACTCAATTATTCACAAGATTACGAAGCTTTCTAAACGGTGTAATCGCACTTTTTAGGAACATTGAAAAAAAGGCCGCTACCTCTCACCTGGCATAACTCTTCAATGAAGCATCATAATAAGTTGGGTACTTTACAGTTATAATCAGCAATTCTAATTAGCCTGGTGTAAAAGTTTTCAGACTGTTTTGTTTCATTTCTGAGGCAAAATATGGCCTTTCATGGTTCAAAACCCTCTTTGAAGTTTCTACCGTAACCCTACAGTAATGAAGAGAGATGGGTGATTCGTTCTATAATGGAAATCTAAGTTGAAGCCAGCTCTACAAAACGGTACCTGAAGCAAGGCAAAAGACTTCTTGGGAAGAGAGATATCAACGATCAAACGTTCTAAACATTTTTGGGACACCCTGTATATAAGGGTGTCGGTAAAGTATGTATACACTGTTTGATCGTTAATATCTTTCTTCCCAACAAGTCTTTTGCCTTGCTTCAGGTACCATTTTGTAAAGCTGGTTTCAACTTAGATATACATTATGGAGCGAGTCACCGATCGTTTTTCATTGCTGTAGGATTACGGTAGAAACTTGAAACATATTTGTCAATTTGGAAAAAGCTGCCGTCTCAAAATTTTTCAAAAAATGTGAAAACTTGTGTAATAGGGTTTTCATGGACGCTGAGTTCAATGCTCAACTATTCACAAGATTGCGAAGCTTTCTAAACGGTGTAACTGCACTTTTTAGGAACGCTAGCCGACGTCCCCGGTCCAGCCCGCATTAACTGAAATGACATAGTGTTTATAACGTATTTAAACTGGAGATTCGTCCCTCTCTTTTCATTCTAAATCTTGTTACCCCTTTCATCTTCTTTCCTGTTTCGTTCCTGGTCAGCACTGCATCGCTCGTGGTACCCGCATTTGCTGTCTTTCTTCTTGATCGCCTCTCTTCGTGACCGCGTCATATTCTCCTTAAGATGTAAATGATCTTTACCGCTCTGTTCTACTTCACTTGGGTAAATGATTTGATAGTGATTAAAGAGCTTTCATTTTCTTGGATGTAAGTAAACAATTCAATTTGCGCCGTGGCTTGTTTATAGGGGAGAGAATTTCAGCGTTCCCTGTTCACATACAAAGCAGTCTATGCCACAAACATCCTAACAAACAAAGTTATTTACATGTTTGAGTTTTATATATATATAGATATATAGATTGAAAAAATGGCCGCTACCTCTTACACGGCATAACTCTTCAATGAAGCATCATAATAAGTTAGGAACTTTACAATTAGAATCAACAACTCTAATTAGCCTAGTGTAAAAGTTTCAGGCTGTTTTGTTTCTTTTCTGAGGCAAAACATGGCCTTTCATGGCTCAAAACTCTCTTTGAAGTTTCTACCGTAATCCTACAGGTACCTGAAGCAAGGCAAAAGACTTGCTGGGAAGAAAGATATTAACGACCAAACAGTGCATACATACTTTGCGACACCCTGTATATACACATTGTTTGATCGTTAAGAACTCGCTTGCTTCGATGCCTTTCGCCTATCTTTGGGTACCATTCTGTAGAGCATTCAACTTAGATTTGCAGTATGGAACAAAACTCCGATCTTCCTTCGTTACTGTAGGACTACGGTAGGAGCTTTGAAGAGGATTTCAAGCCCAAGGCCCGTATGCACTACATCCCCGCTGGGGAGAGGATTTGAGAGGGGATGCGTCATTCTCGTTACTCTACGTATCTTTCTTTTTCCTTTTCTATCTTGCTTATGAAGGTCCTCATGCCCTTATACCTGCGCATGACGAATGCTAGGTTACTGGCGTAATTAATTAGATTATCACCATTTTGTGTGATCCCCTAGGAATCCCCAGGGATCCCCAGGGATTACCTGTCAATTCCAATGTCATTTATCCCCTTGAAAACGAAATGCTGTAAAATTGTATTATGGATATATTAGGCTGGAAACTAAGTTTTGCAACTGGTTTTATAACTCCGCTCTCTTTGAATATGACGCAAACTTTGGCATTATGTAGAAGGCAATGTGAGCTACAAGAGAGCACAAATTGTCTAAATTCTGAACACGAAATAGAAAAGTTTCAGGCGTTTTTCGAAAATTAGTGAAATTTGAGAATTTGCGGGGTTTCAAGATAAAATGAAGCCTTTGGCAGCCTAGACCATGCGCAGTAATCCGGATTCGTCTACAAATTATTGCTGGAGGTTGACTCCTTTGGCCTAGTAAGAAAGAAACAAAATTTAGGGGCATGTCGAGATCTGGCGTCCTCCTTAAAGTCGAACGAGTCGATGTACGCAAGAGCTGCTGGGGACTACCTTCAATGACTAAAGAGTCCGAAGCTCAAATTCCGCCGAGACTTTACATAGTAAGGTTATTTGACCTGCCAAATGCGAATATCACATTCATTTGTTGAATCAACGCCTTTTCCCTTGTTTAGGGTGATACCCCATATCGTACACCTACAGTAATCCTATAAAAAAGCCCTTATCACGCAATTTTACTATCGTTTTCGTGATTAGCATGTCGGATAACCCCCTTATGCCAAGTTTCAGCCAAATCCGTCAAACTTTGAATTTTTCCCCTTCATACCATGCACCTAACGTAACCCTCACTGTGACGTCAGAATTTGATAGGACAGCAGCTGCGCTTGTAGCTTACGTAATAACCAACGCAGTGGCAAAATTTGAGTGCGCCATGTTGAGTGAGAGGGAAGTTATGAGACCAGTTGCAAAACTTAGTTTCCAACCTAATATTAGGTTGAGTCGAAAGCAATGAGAACTTTTAGCTCCCCATTTCGAACTTTCCGCAACTCGTGTAGAATAGCGATAGAAGAGTACCCTGAATTGTATGAAACGTAGCTTTTCTTTCTCTGCTCAGCAGTGAGGCCAGTGGCCCAGTTGACTTCTTAGTTTTCGAAAAAATGTCCCAATTTTGAATCCATCATTTTCTTTCCTTGACTTTAGCTAATCCTCAGAATTTTCAGTTTGAGGTTTTCGAACAAAATCGATAACATAAAGCAAGGTAGGCCCTGCTTGATGCAAACCACTATTTAGATATTTCAAAATTGGCATTTTGAGGCCTTGTAAGATCATTTTTGCAAAAGCCCCAAATTTAAAAAATGGCTCAAACAAAATGCGTTAAACCCTACAAAATCTTTCGAATTTGAGAGCTTCGAAAATAGTTTATGATCAATTCTATCCTTGATTCTGCAAGGTAATCAAGCGTTTACAGCTTCAAATTACCACAATCCAGAATTTTTTGACAAGTTTGAAAAAAAAACCATAGATTCTGAACGAAAAACGCTTTGTGTTCAAAAATTTCTGCAAATATTTCAGCAATTACGAAGTGATTTGGTTGAAAATTATATCTATCGGAAACAGAAAGAAAAACTATGTCGGACCCCATTCAGAGGACTAGCTTATACATATTCTACCTAATTTGAGAGTAGGTTTAAAAAAAGATGCGGTGTTCTCATGACTTTTGACTCACCCTAGTACTACGACGCTGCTAGAGATATTATAGTAGCCATAAGTACTCAGGACATCGAGATATTCGGTATTCCCTAGCTCGCGAGCCAGGGACCATCGAAAAATTCACAACCTTCAGATCCCATTTCTGCTGTCAAAAATATGCTTAGCAGTGCCGTAGTATATCCTCAGTACAATTTTACAGCTTTTTCATTGAATTCTCAGGAATATAAATCACTTTGAAAATAAGAGGTGATCCCCTGAGGATCACACAAAATGGCAAAAAACCAATCATGTATGGAAGTAACCTGGCAACCATTGTGCGCAAATATAAGTGTATGAAAAAATTTATAAACAGGTTAGAGAAAGAAGAAGAAAGATGCGTAGAGTAGCGAGATATGACGCATCCCCTCTCAGATGCCCTCCCCTCCTCAGCGGGAATGGACGTGCATACGGGCCTAAGAGTCGCATTCCGCTCCGAAAAGGGAACCAAACCAGCCAGAAGGCGTTAATACTAGGCTAATTAGAGTTGCTGATTACAGATATGCAATTTGCACACCATGAAATCAGCATGCGTAAGAACCCTGCTATACAAATTTCCAGAGTTTTTCAGAGTTTTTTATCACGGCCTATCACAATGGCGCTGAGTTTCGAGTTCATACCGTAATCACACAGTAGCGGAAAAAGACTAAAGTTTCGCTTTAAACTGTAAATCTAAGTTGGAACTCGCTCTACAGAATGGTACCTAAAGATTGGCGGGAGACTTCGAAGCAAGCGAGCTATTAGCGATCAAACAGTGTGCATAATTCTTTGGGACACCTTGTATCTACAGAGTGGCCGGTAAGTATGGGCGTTATATCGTCTAATATATCTCTTTCCTGCAATATTTTATTGAGGCGACCAATATGCCTGTATCTTGTGGACATCCTCTATACTCAGACATAAGAACATAAATATGAACTAATGTCTTCTGATGTAAGCGGGGCCCCAGAGTCTATTTCTACTAGCACGGCATTACGTTATTCCTTGGACTACGCTCTATAAAACCTCACACTTTTCAAATTATTTGATTCGGATTATCACCCGGGTTCGCAACGAGTACATATTTTACACAGCATTTTTTGACATTAGCTTCAAGATAAGCTGGTTGAATGTACGAGTATGAAAAGACTTATGGGACAACCTGCTATTAGGTATATAGGCCTCAGAAATGTCGCAGTTAGGTTTTTCACATTATTCGACATTATTTGAGAGTTCACATTATTCGACATTTTTCAAGTGAAGTGGCAAATTAAGGAAGTTCTTGTTTGCCTCCCACAATGACAACCCAAAGATCCGTGCCACACATTCACTTTGACTTGTTTGTTGGTTTTGCAATTTGGACTTTGCAGTATATCAGCAAGTTCAAGGTGTACGAAAAGTTTATGTTAAGACATTCGGAATTGGAGAAGTTCACAGATCAAGATGAGATAAGATTAAAACCAGGTTGGACTGTTAGAAAAGTTTTCAAACTACTGTCAATTTTCAGGAACTATATTGAGTATTACGGAAAACTTCAAATTGTTAAAGCTCCCAAAGTTTGTATGGGATGATGGTGCAAGAATTTTCATAACGATAAAGGACAATCATAAACTTGACACTACTGAAATCAGGGAGATGCTGGAATCGAAGCATATTGGCAACGCGGATGTGCAACATCCTTTCGGCAAGTAATATTCATTTGCATCAAAGACCCGTTGTACCAATTTTGAGAAAGAAGTTCATGTTGAATTTGGTAAGCTGTCAAATGTGCATTTTATGAGACTTGATTTGCACGAAGGATGCCAGGCATTGAAAAAAAACGGATTCCTATGATTTCAAGCTGAGGACAGACCGTTTTTGCATTACTCTGAACAGCACGCTGAATATCCGACCCATGACAGTGCTTTCCTCTAGCTTTGGGAATTAAAGCTACTACACGGCAGAAGCCGCGTCTTCAATTCCGTAAAATGTAGTCTTTTTAACCTTCGTAAAGCCCTTTATTACTCCTTACTTGTTTTTTTTCGTATCTGTCTGTCACTCTACCCTAGTTCTACATATGTTGTTTCAATCAATTTGAAGCAGATAACGTAATTCAAAGCAGAAATGGAAAGATAAAGGCAAGCGTATTAAATATCGAAGTTTCACGAAATAAAACACTCGCGCTTTGGTTTACTCAGTAAACTTTGCAATCACGTAAGGATTGCGCCGCTTATAAAACTCAAAAGCTTAGAAGGAATATGAAATCGTTTGTGCTATTACACCACCCGTGGAAAAATATTGCTGTAGTTAGGCATCGAAGTAAGGCAGCGCATGCCCAACTTACGGCGGCCGCTTAACAACTTTGCCAGAGTTCAAGAAATTCGCTTTATCTCGGTTCAGAGATTCTGGACCCAAGAGTATCATTCGACTCAGTTCGGCGAGGCGCATCCCTCAGTATATGAATGTGCCATACTCGAATATGGATAAGGTAAACGGTAGATAGTTACCCTTTACGAATACGAATTTGTTTAGATGGATTACTCAGTGGGGATAATCTACGTTAATCTGGTGTTAATGGCACTTTGTAATATAGGAAAAGTAAAAAGTCACTTTGCACAAATTCGTTCAAAAATTATTTTAGACGGGGAGGAGGAAGAGGAAGAGGAATCCTAATAAAAATCCCAGGAAATCAATAGCTTTCAATAAGTCGTAAAGTAGCGAGCGTGGTGCGCAATACGCATATTGAGTTCAATGAGTATTACATTTATTTGCTGCTGATGGCACATTGCAGAGATACCTTCGAAAGACAATGTGAGTCGATTTACTCGGATCTGTTGGAAGGTTGCTCTCGCGCTCATTCAAATTACAGTTGATTTTTGTCTTGAAGTCATCCTGTATGAATCAGTCGATGTTGATACTCATCACGTGATTATAGCATACATAGTGAACACGATTTCTTGGTGTGGACATATTTTAGTGGTGATATAGCGCAGCGCATATTGAAGACCAAAGGTTCATTAAGTATCTTTAGATAGAGCTATGCCCGTACATCATATTCGGTAGAAAGAAATCAGTAGGCTCTTTTCCGAAACCGAGAGAATGACTGGTGGCTTGGAGAACGACGAGAAGCTTCCTGCTATATACGACGTGACTAGCGACGAGGCACTCGTCCACGTCCGCCAAATCAGGGCTTTAGAAAGGGTAATTTTGGAGTTTTCTGGTGATTCGAAATTCATATCCGTAATCAACGCCATGAAAAGGGCCGATAACACTGAAAACATGGAAGACGAAATTTTGGGTGTATGCTACCTTTAACTGAGGAAGTAAGTATAAGTGCGAGGTGGAGGACTTTGAGAGCATTGAAGGATAAGCCATAGTTATTGACAGCTGCTGCTGAATTTGTTGAGAAAGCCGGAAGCTAGCGTCGAAGGCGACGACGCTGCTACCGGTGTTAATGGGTTGCCGGCGTAGCCGAACTTGGAAGTGCCGCTCGCTTGGACTCGTTCACTGATACCCTCGGATTTTTCATGAAAAAAATCCGCATCTTGTTTAAATTCTCCGTATGCCCGCCAACATTCTCATCTTCTTTGCCATTGCTATGTAACTGCGGATTGTCATGACTCTGACGAATCATGTTTCCCATAACATATGCTACTTGATCTTACGCTTCGTTCCCACAAGAGTGTTACTATATCTACTCATGTTTTGATACAGCTCAGGATTGGCTTCTATGATCCTCCATCACTATCCCTTCTACTGCATCTTCTCTTCAGAGGCAACCATGTAACAGGAATGAAATGCATTATGTTCTCGAAAGTTCTGTCGTTTCATATTCAAAAATTTCTAACTTTTTACTGTCTCAACGGATTTGCTTCCTTCTAATTTCGTTAGAAATAAGATGTCTTCATCTTTGTAAAGGTATCTCGGGAGCTTCAACTATACATTCAATGCAGAGACAAAATGGAGAAAGAAGACCATTTAAGCTTTGAACATTTTGAATTAAATCGCTAAAGTCTGGGACGCCGCAGAAAGATCTGAAATTGTCAGTATATAAGTTTTATGACACTCTTTGCATATGAGAAAAATTTATGCTGTTTGGACGTTTCAGTGAAAGGTTATGATTTTTGAGAAACGTGACAAATCAATTAATTTTGGCGTTTTCTGTTAAAACTCGAAAATTGTAACTTTTCACAGAAACGTCCACATAGCACAATTTTTCTGAGACGCAAAGAATAGGTCATGAAACCTATATGCGGACAATTTCAGATTTTTCTGCGACCTAAATCGTCAATTTGGCGACCTAAATCGTCAAAGCTCATGTTGCCTTCTTTTTCCGTTTTTATCTCTGCAGTGAATGTATAGTAGAAGCTCAAAAACACGAGTGCAGAGAGGAACACTTCTTCCTTCCAATAGTTACAAATTTTCAAAAATGAAACGACAGAACTTTCGGGACAACCCCTAATGTAATTATGGCAATATCTGCGTGTAAGGTGGTGTATATTATAATACGTGCGAGTCTATATATAACATAAAATAAACGAGATGTGAGATGAATCGCCAAAAACTCTGTCGCACGTGATGCAGTGGGAACAAGATTGTCCTCCTGTCACTTTCAAGGAAATCTCTCACTCGTGTAAAATACTATTCCTTTACGTATAACGCTTATGAGCATTTCTGACTGAGGCATTTCCGTATGGGCTCCTCATACAATACTGTTCTCCTGTGTGCTAGTGCCACAATTTCATCAAAACTGAAGATAAGAGTAGGAAATTAGAAGTTAGAGACTCTAGAGGTGCTATGTTTACGCCAATGTTCATTCAAATCAAACTTCTCAGTCCTGGTTACATCCTTAACGTAGAACTCTGTAGTACTGATTATACCATGGAAATGTGTAGTTGCTGAGAACTCTCATGACACAACAGCTTAAAGGCACCGTCCACCCAAAATGGGGTCGATGAGATTTTGATGCTTAACAGTAGTGGGGCCCTAACTGTATACTTATCCAACTCGCGCTAGCAAAAGTTGCTTTCGAAGTGAAAAAATTGCTTCGAAAATCGCTCAGATGACAGATTCGCCACGTTGGCTCCTCACCTTTGAGTCGCGACGTTCGTCCCTCCCATCCGTGCGCGCCCTATCAATCACTATCATCAGAAATCGCTCTGCAGGTTCTGAAAGCGGATTTTTCGTGGTTTTCGCGGATTTCCGATTTGATATTTGGAATCAGCGGTATGAGATCGCCTTGGAAAGGCAAAAAATGGAGGAAATTTTGGATGGACGTGCCTTTAAAGGCAGCATCCACCCAAAATTTCGCCTCCCATGTCTTCGAGTTTCGGATTGTTCATCACCCTCATCTTGTCAGCGGGGAGAAGCTGCAACTGCGTGTCTGCAGTTGGTCTCCATTATCGACCGACGTGAACACTCGTCCTCATCAGGGGTGCTTGTGTTTTAGGTGGTTTGTGACACGCATCACAGACCCATATCTCCTTTTACAGGCCGCATCAAGGGATCGGACCAACACAGACCGAATACATCTGAGGTTCGCTTGTCTATATGCTAATCTGTGTGGGGTGAGTTTGTGGGCGCTGCTTGCTGGTTGCTCGTTACCCGGTAACGGTAGTGAAAATGGTAAAACGAAGAACAGCCGTTATGACGTGATCATATACTAGGCTGAAAACTTGGTTGCGACTTGTTTCATAACTTTACTCTCTTTGAATGTGGGGCACTCCAATCTTGGTATTATAAAGAGCTCAATGGGTGCTGCAAATGCGCACACACTGTTTGCATTTCAAACATAAATGAGAAAAATTCCAGACATTTTTTTGAAAACTGATAAAAGTCTTTTGGGGTTTTAAGCCAAAATGAAGCTTTCAGCAGCCTAATGCGCAATAATCCGGAATCGTGCAAGAATTATTGCTAGAGGTTGACTCATGCGGCTCAGCAAGAAAAAAATAAAATTTAATAGCATGTTGAGATTTGGTGCAATCACAAACTCGAACGAGCCCGCTCTACGCAAGGCTGCTGGGGACAGCCGTCAATAACCGAGGAGTCAGAACTTCAAATTCGCCAAGACTTCATTTAGTAAGGTTATTTGACCTACCAGACATGAATATCTTTTTCATTTGTTAAACTAACCCCTCTCCTTGTTTGGGGATGAGACCCTATAATGTAAACCTACTTAGCTCTGGGCAGAAAAGGCTTTCCTTGTTTAGGGACGAGACCCTATAACGTAAACCTACTTAGGTTAATTATGATGTAAGCTCTAGGCAGAACAGCAGCACAGCTGCTGTTCTGCTTAGAGCTTACATCATAATCTACATAATGGCAAAATTTGCGTGTGCCATGTTGAGAGAAAGAGGAAAGTTTCTGCATGCGTTGCAAAATTTAGTTCCCAACCTAATAAATTCAGTTCCCATAAGTTCTTGTAAAATCTGAAGGTGTCAGCAAAATACAAGCGAGCGGCTTCTGCGAGAGCGACGAACAACCAGGGGCAATCGTCAACCGTCAACGCCAGAGAACCCGGCAACACCGCGAACTTGGCAACACCGGCAGAGCAGACATTTATTGTCGGCAATCCATCCTAAGTAGCTGCATCTTTTTCCATTGAACATCATTGATTAGCAAACGGTTTTTGGTTCGCTCAGTTCCGCGTAATTTAGTTAGCATAGAAGGACGATTTTGTCTTTTGCTCTCCTGCTGTTTTCAGCTGTTTCTTTAGCACAATCTTTCCTATATCTTCCTCCTTTCTCGCAAACTCCATACTCTCCTACGAGTAGTTATTTGCCTATGCCTATGAGCTAGTCTCCCCTATTATTCACACCACTTTTTTGCATTTTAATGCATTTGATGTAAATACAAATAGCAAACCTCAAATGAAACCTTTCTCAAACCTAAAATCTTTTCCAAAACCCATTTTGAGTTTTCTGTATTTAGAATAAGTTTACTTCTTTCAGCATGCGGCTTTACAAGAAAAAGTTCTTCTCAGTGCAAGATTATCGAAGGAACTCTCACTATCGGGGATAGTATAAATGACAATTTGGATAATCTTGAAGAGATCTATGGTCAAATCGAAGTGCACAATTATCCCAGAGCAACTCTACCTGCTATGCCAAAGCTGAGAAAATTGGAGTGGACTAAGGAAGGGTCAAAAGACGCAGCAATCAAGATATATGATAATGATCAATTGACAAGTATCGCAGAGCTTTTCAAGCTGGATAATATCGTGCTTGGATCAACAAACAAAGCAATCATGATCAAAAACAATTCTTTACTTTGCATTGAACCGGAAAATGTTGATCGTCCCTTCGTAAAGAAGTACGCCCAAAACGTGAGAATCTGCGGATCTGAAGGCGGTGAGTGTAAGTTACATTCAAACTATATTGCAAAGGCGTCCCTCATAAAATATAGCTAACATACAGCCTATACTAACTTTCTTGTCATAAAAATTTCAGCAGTTCTTTTGCTTGTGCTGTTACACTTCTAAATTCCCAAGCAAGGTAATAGTTTCTGTTTCAGCCAGCATCTATGTTTTCCTTGCCGCCATAAATTTGCGTATCTGTTCTGCAAGCACTATGTTTGCGGGCATTTCCATTTTGCGGTTTGCCAAGAACAGATAATCTCTCGTCTTCGAACGATTCCATAAGCAATTGCTTGGCATTCTCCTATACCTAGGCCAATCAAGCCCTCTTCCCTCTGGAGACATTTTGGTACCAGGCAATCTGAAGATAAAAGCACTGGCTTGGTAATCGGCTGGCCCTCGCAAGTCACTGCAAAGACCTGCACGCATTCAACTGTCTCTTTAACTACGAAGTGATGCATTCGGAACGTGCCCGCAGTGATATTGAAAGCTCCAAAACCTTTGTTCTCGCTTATTTTGAAGAGTTGCAAACAATAGAGATAATTCAAGCGATTCGGTGATTGAAATGTCAGAGGTATGGAAAAAAGCTTTTTTCTTATAGAAACATAGAAAGTTGCCCTGGGGGGGGGGGAGGAATAGCTCTAGAGCGCTAGGTTGAATTTGATGCTGATAACAAAAATGATATCCCAAGTGGTAAGATCCTTTCGGTAAATTTACGGCGAGTTTATGAGTGGATGTCTCGACAGACGAATATGATATTCGTGTTCAGCATTCCACGATGATAAGGTCGTTATGTCTCATTTGAGTAGCTGAACACGTCTGTGTTTTGTATGTGCGTCTATGCCTTCGATCTGGCTATCGCGAGTTACATAAGGAGGGTTGCATCCAAGCTTTGGGAATTTCGCGTCGCTTACACTACTAGCATACAAGGAGATTCGGTGTGAACATAAACAAGCTGGTTCGATATTTGATTCGTTGCGATTGCTTGTTATATAGATCCAAATTTTTAGACGGTAAATTTGGGCCCATTACTGAATATTTGAATCATTTGGCTTCAAAATCTGAAATCGCGAACTTTATTTGAGGAGGAAACAAAAACTGTGCTCTTTCGGAAGAAGGTGCCAAGAAGGAATATTTGCATACACCTTTTATTATCGACTTTTTTCAATAAGAAATGGAGGAAATTCTTGTAGGGACTGGAGTGTAAGTACTGTTCTCTCTCTGGAGTTTCTAAGTCATAAGAAATCAATAGCAGTTCTGACTTTGCATTTGTTCCTCTGGTAGATAATCACCTCCATAGTTACTAATCCGAAATTAAAGAGGCTCCAAAATGAGGAATTGTTCAACATCATTTGTGACGTCAGCATACCTAGGTTGCGTTTGAATGGCTTACATATGCGAGTAGGAGAAAGGCACTTAGTGTTGCAGCTTGATGGATCCGCTCCCATTCAAAGGGTGCGGCTGCCTTACGCCACAGTTCCCACCCCAAAAAATTTTCACTATTGCGGGAAGACGCCTAAAAACTCACAACGGGGCATTCCGCCTACAAAGAAAACATATATATAGCAACATTTTGTAGAGCTGGCTTCAACTTAGATTTACAGTATGGAGCGAATCACCGGCCGCTCTACATTACTGTAGATTACGGCAGAAATTTCAAGAAGGGTCGTTAGATATCAAGGGCCCCTTTTGCCTCAGAAAACAAACCGAACAACCAGAAGACTTTTATGCTAGGTCAACTCAAGCCGCTAAAACCAAATTTGATGTTTGCACTTTACCGCAATGCTTCCTTCATAAGTTATGCCAGATAGACTGCAATAGCTGCTTTTACAAGATTCCATAAAATCGCAATTACACCATTTTAAAAACTTTGCAAACTCGCAAAAACTTGAATAATAAAACTAGCGAGTTTAAAAACCCTAGTACATCACATTTCAGATTTTTTGGTAATTTTTTCAGAATCACGGTAAATCCGTAGTGTAAATCCGTAGTATTTTTTCAGAATCACGGTTAATCGTATGCTATAAGCTGAAAGTTCCTAAATCTTACAGTATTGAACAGCGATCCGTGATTCGCTCCATACTGTGAATCTAAGTTGAAGCCAGCTCTACAAAGGTGCAAATGAAGGTAGGCAAAAAGCTTCTTGGAAAAGGAGATATAACGGTCAAACAGTGTATACATACTTTTGGGACACTCTGTATAATAGGTCATTCCGAAAGTAATTTCCCTTTTTTTAAAGGGGCGCCACATCTGAAGGAAAAGGATTTTCTGAGAATTCTTGGTAGCATTCGATGCAGCATTTCATCCTCTTTTTTAACATTCGATGCAGTATTTCATCCTCTTTCTAACAGTGGTGGAATCGTCGCAGCTCAATTATTGAGCTTTCGGAAAATAATCAAAACCTGCGACCCATGCTTTTTGAGATGGTCAAGTTTCACAATTTTTCAAAACTTTATATCAACCCTCAGAAGGAGTTCAAGTAACGATTAGATACAGCAAACCCTACAGGATACAAAACAATTATTCTCTCCTTCACATACCTCCTCAAAAATTTTAATAAAACTTCAACTGATGCTACCAATTTCCATACTTGGTCTCAACGCAAATCTCGTAGAACATCAATAAGAGAGCAACTAGGGTGCTTTGGTGCAGCTTTTTCTCCTCTTTCTAATAGGTGTTTTTTGTTTCCGATTCGTTCAGTCTTCGGGGATAAAATCGTCATAACTCATATTTTTGAACGCGCCCAAGGCTGTACCCGAAAAACTCGAAATTCAGTATTTCGAATCCGTAAACTCTCATTTGCTTTATAAAATCAATATAAAGTCATGTGTCACCTTGGAAGCTACAAATTTCGAGTAATTACTGATGTTTGATGGGATTGTGGTTGACGTAGGCCTGCCAAAATACGATGGTTTTGGTAAAAGAATCTTTCAAAAAGTTACTGCAAGCTATGAAAAAGAGGAAAAAGTTGTGGTTGCGCTGTATCCTGTGGGGTTTGCTCTATCTAATCGTTACTTGAACTACTCTGAGGCAGGACCCGGCACCGACGGTTTGGGATCAAACTGGACTTCGTTTTTGGAGTTAGAAGCAACGGGGACATCGTTTTTATGAGGTCCTGGAGGAAGCGCCAAAAAAAACACGACGAACATGTCAGGTTTCACGAGTCGAACGTGTTCTTTCGCAAGCGCGCGAATTTCAAATGCAAGACTCAAACAAACAAATGGCTTGTTCACAGCGCACAAACAATCACATAGCTCCAAATTTGGGCTATGTGTATACAATATTACTCCAAACTATGTTATATAAAAAGTTCCCAAAACTTATGTGTCCTAATATCCGTTCTCGAATTTGTTGGTTTCTAGACCAACTACCAAACCAACTGGGTTGGTTCGGAGCATAAATATCGGAGAGTTCACATAAGTTTTGGACCTTTTTGTTTTGGACGATTAGAACGGTCAAAAATCTATCATTTAGTGAAGAGAGCGGCTCAAACCGTTGCCTCTCCCCTTTTTTTTTAGTCAAAAGTGGTATAATTCTACGCGTTGATAGATATCGCGCTCCAATCACTTGCGGTGTCCTTTGAAGTATGAGGCGAAAAATGCATCGCAGGATTGAGGCTACGAATTTGGTTGGCCTAGGAGATTTTCGATATTCCCAGCATCAAAATGGTATATACCCAATGGCAGAGCCTTTAATCGACTCGAAATGTTTTCTTTTTGCTTTTTTGTTATATTACATACCTCAAAATGCGTTTTTTTCGCTTTTTTGTTGCTATTTTGGTTGAATAAGGGTTTCCCTACTGATTTTCACGTCGAGAGGGACTTCGTAAATTTTCGCGAAGTCATGGGGGACTTCGTTTCCTAAAAACCTCCAAACCACTGCGTGCCGGGCCCTGCTCTGAGGGTTGATATGAAAGTTTTGAAAAATTGTGAAACTTGACAATCTCAAAAAGCATGGTCGCAGTTTTTTGGTTGTTTTCGGAAATCTCACTGACTATGTTGTTACAATTTCATAACCACTAGAAAGAGAATGAATCGAATGCACGCATCGAATCTGCAATCTGCATCGATTTCCTCCAAGATCTCTTATAAACCTTTTTTCTATCAAGTGTGGCGCCCGTTTGAAAAAAGCGAAATTACTTTTGAAACGATTTAATATATTAGATTGAACCGGAAGTTCTGTCGTTTCATTTTCAAAAATTTGTAACTTTGCGCTGTTTCAACGGATTTGCTTGCCTGTAATATTATTAAAAGTAATAAGTCTTTCGCTTTCAAACGCTGTTTTGAGGACCTTCTGTTTCACCTTGGGTGCGGAGATAAAAATGGAAAACTAAGACCTTATAAGATTCAGATTTGACCATTTTAAGTTAGGTCACCAAAAATCTGCAATGCTGCAGAAAAATCTGAAATCGTTAGCACATGTGTTTTTTGACCTACTCTTTGCAACTGTGAAAAGTTTGTGCTGTTTGGACGTCTCTGTGAGAAGTTATGATTTTCACGAAAATTGACAAATTAATTAATTTTGGCGCATTCCATAGTAAACTCGATATTCATAACTTCTCACAGAGACGTCCAAACAGCACAAACTTTCCACAGTTGCAAAGAGTAGGTCAAAAAAACACATGTGCTAACGATTTCAGATTTTTCTGCAGCATTGCAGATTTTTGATGACCTAACTTAAAATGGTCAAATCTAAATCTTATAAGGACTTAGTTTTCCATTTTTATCTCCGCACTCAATGTGAAACAGAAGCAGCGTTTGAAAGCGAAAGACTTATTCTTTTTTATAAAATTACAGGCAACCAAATCCGTTGAAATCCGTGAATAATTGCTTATAACTCTGCTCGAATTACTTCCGATCTCGAGCTTTGGGGAAGGGCAGATGGAGTCGGCATACCATATGAAACAGCTTATTTTGAGGCTACTAATATCATCTTGAAATGTCTCTGAATTCTGAAGCCATCCAAATATTATGATCGGTAAGAAATGGGACAGCTTGATTTTCATTACATTTTGAGGTTTTCTGTTCTCACCAACAACTAGCAGGCTGCAACTCAAACGTCGCTTACATAACCGACCTTCGCCTATTATTCTGGCAATGCGTTACCGCTCCTCTCCCACAACGCTTGGCGTGGCGCCTCGAAGAACTCGAAGGAGCAGAGCATATCTCTTATAGGTTTGCATCGTTGGTAACTCACTCAAACCTATTGTGAGAATTGTCTTCAAAATTTAATGGGTCAGAGGCGCATCCTAAGCTTACAAAGTCTCAAATTAAAAAAAAGTAGAATAATTTGAAGCATTTTGCTTAATCTATCTAACTCTTATCAAAGCTTTTGCAAAAGTCCGAAAGTCAAAAACAAAGTAGCTAAACTTTGGGTACGTGAAATGCATGGGTTGGAGACTGCGGCGATAATTCAAAAAAAAAACGCTGAAGAATTCCGAACAAACATATCGCTGAAAAGAGAAAGAAATGACAATGCTCAGAGTTCTTGTCTATCGTTATTCCGAATGATTTAAGGATGGGTCCAAACGGCACGTTTCAGACCCACTCAAAATATCTCATCTCAAACGGTCACTTCATCCCTCAACGGCACGAACTTTCAGACCCACTCAAAATATCTCACCTCAAACGGTCACTTCAACCGGCAATTCTGTTAGATGTAAGGTTAGCTCGTGACGCCAGAAAGATCGCTTTCAAGGTTTACCTGTTTTGTCGCCTTCCTCATTCTTCATTTGGGCTGGGTTGAATTCTCAAACTCACTTCTAAACATCGTAAATTGATACGTTTGCATAGCTGCCGTTAGCTGCTAAAATTCGTACTACCGATTCATACTCATCCAACCTAAAAGAAAAAGAAACTTAAGAGGGATTCTTAAAAATCAGCAGCTCTCAATCATAAAGAATGTAAATTAGCCCGCATGTGCAATGAGTCAGAAATGATTGAGTTTTCAGAAGAGTGACTATCACTAAGATAACAAAGTTCCTCGTTTTTCAAGCAAACGCTTTCTCTACCATTAGATTTTCGATTTTTCTGTTTTATCTCTTTGTTTTCAAATCCAAAAATACGTCATTGTCCAGTAAGTTGCTCTAAAAAATCAAAAAATAATCTTTGCTGAAAACTGAAATCTACTTCTTTCTGTTAGCTTGCTTCAAAGCGGAATCAGGAACCACATAAATTCTACGTATTTAGCAGCACATGGTCTTTCACACACAGCCGACGGTCTTCCTGAACAAGCAGCTATCTCTAATATATCCTCTTCCAACACGGGTCTTCTATGTGCGATAGTTGCTATAGTTATAACACTTCTTGTCTAAGGTACGTTTCCAAGTTTTAGAGCAGATAGTAATAAACTGGTTTCAAATTGCCTTATTCGTGATAAGTATGTTAAAAGAAATCGATAGCAACTCTTTGTCACGATAAAATCATACGCTATACTTCAACCTTGACTCCGCCGAGTGCTTCGCATCAAAGTAGGTTACTTTCATCGAACTTGCTTTGTGAGCGAAGCAAAATGTTTCCTTCTATCTTCTACTGCTCACATTTGGCAAAAAAAGTTCGAACGGGAGACCATTACATCGCAAAAAAGTACAAAAAAAGAAAACGACAGGGATGATTGTTTCACTGCAAAGCTTACTAATTTGCAGACATTTCGTTTTCAATTAGACGCCTCGCTTTCTCTCAGGGACGCGGGCAGTCACTTGGTGTCGCGACTGTACGATTGTCAAGGGCCGATCGTACGGTTAAGATGGGATGGACGCTGTAGTTGGAAATTCGAAAACTTTCTTGAACAATCGATCGAAATAATATTCAAATTGCAATTCCCGAATATTCGACTATCGAGCATTATTCAAAAATGGGAACTTTCGAGTATTCGACCGAATATATTCCAATATCGAATGTCATTCAATATTCAAATTTCGAATATTGTTCGTGTCTCGAATATTACTCCATTCCCGACCACTATTCATTATTGTCAGTGAGATGACTGCTAGGAGACCAAAACGTCCAACAATCAGTTATTTTATGAAATTACTAGCTGGCAAACCCGGCTTCTCCTGGCCCTGTCAATATTATTTTGGTAATCAGCATGCTCACTTACTCGCCTGTGCCAACTTCTAGCTTCGCAGCTGAAACTTTGCAAATTATCGGTGGAATTGAAATACAGGGTGTCCCAAAAAAATGTGCACACTGTTTGATTGTAAATAATTTGGTGAAGTGTTTCGAGAAGCTTTAGATACCATTTTGTAGAGCGAGGTTCAACTTAGATTTACAGTGTAGAGCGAATCGCCGATCGCTCATTCTTACTGTAGGATTACGGTAGAAACTTCAAACATATGGTGTCACTGTGAAAAAAGCGAGCGTTTCAAAAATTTTCAAAAAATGTGGAAACTTGTGTAATATGGTTTCCATGGACGCTGAATTCAATACCCAACTCTTTACAATGTTACGAAGCTTTCTGAACGGTGTAACCGCATTTTTTAGGAACATTGAAAAAATGGCCGCTATTGCTGACCTCGCATAATTTTTTAATGAAGCACTACGAACAGTTGCAAACCTCACATTTAGAATCAGCAACTCTAATTAGTCCAGTGTGAAAGTTTTTGGGTTGTTTTGGTTCCTTTTTGGAACAAAATATGGTCTTTCATAACTCAAAACCCTCTTCAAAGTTTCTACCTAATCCTACAGTAAGAATGAGCGATCGGCGATTCGCTCTACACTGTAGATCTAAGTTGAACCTCGCTCTACAAAATGATACCTAAACTTCTCGAAACACTCACCACAAAAGAGTTATTTACAATCAAACAGTGTGCACATTTTTTGGGACACCCTATAGATCGATAGCGAAAATTAACCTGCGACACCCGCCCCGCCCCAAGTGTATATGTGCAAGTTCGGTCTGGATCGGTCCAGAAACAAAAATTTGTACTCGGAACATAGGTACAGACATGCACACATATATGCATTCATACAATACATACATACCAGTGGCGTACCAGGATTTCCGCTGGAGAGGAGGGCACGACAAAAAAAATTTTCTGATGAAGGTGCGTGGCGTTAGCTACGCACTCCGACAAAATTATTGGTATGTTTCCCAAGATTTTTTCGGTCCCCTAACCCCAAAATTTCAGGAGAAGGGCGCGTGGCCCTAGCCACGCCCCTCCCCACCTCGAAAAAAAAATTTTTTTAAGGCGAAATTGAATTTTTGAAAAATTTTCAAAAAATTATTTTAATTATTTGCAAGTATAAACAACTCATTTGCACGTTTTATAACTCATGCACGTGGCTTTTAAAAATTTCGCGACCCATTCTCGGGAGGCCCCCCCCCCCCCGCCCCTCCCTCGGTACGCCACTGATACATACATACATACAATACATATATACAATAAGAACATATCAGTGGCGGACCGAGAGGGGGACTCACACTCCCCTCCCCCCAAGAATGGGCGCGAAATCTTTGAAAATTACTTATATGGGTTATAAAGATGCGCAAGTGACTTGTTTGTTCTTGTAAACAATTAAAATAATTTTGAGTTTTTAAAAATTCAAATCAGCCTTGTAAGAAGGATTTCTTTGGGGGTTGGGGACCCCTAAAAATTTAAGAAGCACTCCAAAAATTTTTTCGGAGTGGTGGCTAACGCCATGCACCTACTCAGCAATTATTTTTAGATGCAGCGGGAATGAAAGTTTGAAAAATCTTCTAAAAAGTTTTCTGCAGTATTTCTATAGGCACTATGTAGTTCACCGAGTCTATAATAGTGCCGAAGCTCTTGATCAATCCGTTTGCATCTGTGTTTTATTCTTGTAAATAAAGAGCTTTATTTCGTGTACACAACAAGTTTAAGATGTGCTTATAAGAAGGAAGCATGATAGTGAAAAACAACAATATAACTACAAAGCAGTCACACAAAATCAAAGTACAGGGTTTCCCAAAAGAGTATACACTATTTGATCATTAATATCTCTTCTCCCAGAAGTCTTCTGCCCACTTTCAGGTACCGTTTTGTAGAGCCAGCTTCAACTTAGATTAACAGTACGGAGAGAGTCAACTATCTTCGTTCATTACTGTAGGATTACGGTAGGAACTTTGAGAAGGGTTTTGAGCCATTGAGAGCCCTATTTCGCCTCAAAAGCAAACCAACAATCTGCAAACTTTTACACTAGGCTAGTTATAGACGCTGAAACTAAATATGAATCATGCTTTTTACCGCAGTGCCTATTTCATAATTTATGCTACGTAAACCGCAATAGCTGTTTTCACAATGTTACCTAAGACTGTGATTACACCATTTAAAAACCTTTACGAGCTCATAAAAAATTGAGTAATGAAATCAGCACGCGTGAAAACCTTAGTACACCACCTTCAGATTTTTTGGAAACTTCTTCTAAGACACGGTTAATCCGCAATGATGCTATAAGCTGGAAGTCTCTACCGTAATCTTGCAGTAGTGAAGAGCGATCGGTGACTCGCTCCATACTGTAAATCTAAGTTGAAGCTGGTCTACAAAACGGTACCTGAAAGTGGGCAAAAGAGTCCTTAGGAAAAGAGATATTAATAATCAAACAGTGTATACATACTTTTGGGACACCCTGTATAAATGCTAATGACGTCTGAAAAAGTATTTTTTTACAACAGTGACACAACGAAGCATCTCTCCCACAAGCAACGCATTTAATTTAGAGCGACAGGACCAATATTGTAGTAAAGATGTCTTCCTAGTAACGTAATCGTCGTGCCTTTGTTCGCAACATCCACATTTGATAGGTTCTAAAGATCTGTAAAGCTCCTGAGCGATATTTGAAGCGCGTGCTTCATCCAAAAGAAAAAACTGTCGCTTTACCCTTCCTTAGAGAGAAACTGCGACGTAACCGACTAAACTTGTATGAGAATAAGCTATTGCTCACCTCGTTGATTCAATGTCAGCTTGAGTTTCACTTTTTTTGCTGATCTGATGACGATTGAAGTACATGTGCTTGACTTGAGTTATAAACTTAGCATTCATCCTTATTTCGGGAACGCGATGTTGGTTTCAGCTTCATATCAAATATCATACCGTAAGTCCGCACTAAATCAGAGGAATAATCATTCACAGAAGTCATTTTGCTCAAGTACAAGGCATCTTGATAGGATAGTAGTAAGCTCAGATGTTGCACCAAATTTCGAGTACTTGTAAGGTGCAGAAGAACTTGCCAATCAGAAACTTTGGCACATTAGAAGAAAATTGTAGACCAAAATTAAGGGCAACTTTGCTTAGATTTTGTTCATTTGATTGAAAGAGTTCAAATCATTCATTGCGCTATGTTTCATTTCACGTTATTAGATAATGATATCTCTAGATTGCCTTTTAGGTAAATGGACATTCACTTAATCATTAGATTTTTCAGATTTGAATCCACCGCAATGAGTCATTTCTTATATTCCTACTGGAATTAGTGGTATCATTTGATAGAGCAATGCAAGCTCTACATTTTGTTTGAGTGTTTACAATGAGTTATCCGTAGAAGTTTCAATACAAAATCGAAATAAATCCATGTACTTGAGGAATCGAAAAAAATCGTATTCAGTCCACAAAAATCCTGCCGATCTCCTACTTATACATATACTTTCCGCATCAGGTTGCACACAACTACTGTGCTTTCTCATTTGCTAGAAATCGGAAGAACAATTGGCGTGTACATGCACTGTATCTGCTCTCATAGACCTTTCAAAGTATGAAAGTGAATTTGCAACCACTCACAAGCTCTAGTTTTCGAGAAATATCGAATTAACACAGAAAACTGTAAAGTCTAGACATTTTTTGTGTTTTTCGTATTTTAGCTTATTTTATTTCATAATTTCTAGCTTTAGAAGAAAGGAGCACCTGCCTTAGATATGCTATGAAAACATGTGCGCAAGCAAGTTAAAGGTTCATGGGATCTTTCTGAGTGGTCGAAATTCAAACAATGAGAATTTTGCGCTTTGGCTCAAAGCTTCGCGTGGATATTTTTGCAAATGTTTGAAAGCTTTCTTGTAAAGCTCGGCTTGCTTTATTGGATAGTAGTACTTGATTGAATCTGAAAATCTGGAGGTGAGCAGATTTCTGTCAATGTGGAAAAAACCTGGCCCAATATTTGTTTTTTATTAACACGTGCGAAAACTCTTAAATGATAGGGGAAAGAGACCTCATAGAATGCGGACATTAGTAAATTGAGGGTAGAATACTACGAAAGAATTATAGTAGAAACAAAAAAAGCGTCATCAAAAGAAATTCTTACAACTAGTACGAAGAAAGCAAACAAATGGACACAATATTAGGAAGTGGGAAGATTGCAAGAAAACTATATTGAGCTTGAATTTTTGAAGAGCTGTGCTAGTAGTTGGGACGGACTATCCTCAGAGGACTTGGAGCTCAAACAGATTTGGCAAGAAAATCAGCTTGGAAAATTTTAGAGCAAGTCTTTCTTTCTACTTTTGTCAGGAACTAAATAAAGCGTAGTGCCAAATTTATTCCATTTCTCATTATAAGTCCAACAAGAACCTTGTCAGTTCGTAAAAAAGTGACACTTGGACTTTGAGTCAAATTTCATGGTTTGAATGTAGTCACATGTTTGTGAACAGAGTTAAAACTAAATTTGGATAGAATTTAAATAACATCTTTTACCTCCCGACCATTTTAACGAGTTCTGCGAAAAAACCGTTTGATAATGAGCGAGCGGCAAAAACAAACAGAAGTCTAATCTGCTTTCGAGCAAGCAGAAACATCATTGAAGAGTAAAAAGGGCTAGAATTTGGGGAGACAAGGGATGCGTGTTTGAATAGACGGTACCCTTTGTAGTAACGCTTTCGGACGGCTTTCCTTGGGTCAAGACCCGGAACGGGATGCAAATGGACACGTGTAAAACGAATTCGCTTCTCCCATTTTTGATTTTTACCGACTCAATCGCTCCAGCTGCGTAAACTGTCAACCGTAGCTTTTTCCTCAGAAAAAAACTGGCTTCGTAGTTTCTGATTCTAACATGCAGCAGAGAAGGACTGAATTGTATACCTGCTGACATGTAACTAAACAGAATAAGCTGTAACTTTGACTATGTGTTTTCGCAATGTGTTTTCGTCTGCGGCAAGACACGAACTACTTTAGTGGCGCTGGGTCCCTCTAATGGTATATTGATCCTTGGCACTTTGCAATGAACAGGATTTTCAGCAAATCTGTCGAAGCACTTGCACAGTTCTGTGTAAAAAAATAGCTGTAGAGTTTACCTTCATTTTTGCGACGAAGGTGACGTGCTGCCTCGACGACCAATTCTGATGTAAGCCTGTAACTAATACAAGAGCGCTTTCTGTGCAGATGGGGGTCCAGCTGAGGAACGCAGGGCGTGGGGAAGACAGTGAAGATTGGAAGCGTGGAAAGGAAGAAGTTCTAAGTCAGCGAAAAGTTGCAGCAATTAATTTTTGTTAATTAAGGGCTTTTATGCATACAAATAAGGCCGTGTACGGATGATACCGAACATGCCAACTAGTGGATAGTATACAATATTAGGGTTGATGTTTGATATAAGTGAAGTTTGCCAAATTCTTTTTTGCAAAATATGCGACAACTTCACATTCTATCGCACACTCATTTCGCCTAAGGCCCCGGACAGACTTCACGCGACTTAATCGTCGCGATCTAATCGCCAAGATTTCCATTCATTTTCATTTCACATTCAAAAATTTCGGGCTGGAAAAGTATCACAACCGAAATGCAAGTTGATCGGCATGGAATGATGTTGTATCGCGTGAAGTCTGTCCGGGGCCTAATGGGGAAAGAGCTAATTGCACAGAGGTTCTGATGACGTACGTTTTCTAGCCTTTATTGAAAGAAGTTTACTAATGATAACCAACTTTGCGAAATTAAAACTGAAGAAATTGCCACCATTCTTTGAGCTTTTTTGGTGGGCTTTAGTTATCAAATAAAGATGCTTTTTGCATCTATCACAGAACAATTGCCAAACTGGGAGGAGAATCATGCAAAACTTTGTTTCAAAGCCCAAAACGAATGAATTCCTCCTTCAAATGTTGGTTTAGTTACGCTGCACTCACTAATACCTCTGAAATCCCACTTCTCGGCAAAAATCCTCCACAAAAATAATTCATGTTTTTAAGAAAGATAGTTCTTTACGCTTGCGTTTCGGCTAAGATGTTGACTTCGTTAAATTTATCGTTGAGAATTTCAGTTTAGAATGACATACATTGGAGTACTATGCACTCTGCGCTAGTCTATAAGTTTCCATCTCTAGTGCTTATGCATACAATCAAGGCAATGCAAATTCACTGATTCAAACGATTCAAAACTATGTGAACTACGGTGCAAACCTTTACGGCAGCCCAAGATATAAGAAATCGGCCCAAAAAGTTCCTTCCGTCCTTTCAAAATATATTTTAGGTGGAATAAAGGCAGGCAAATGTTTCAAACACCTACGACGCAGCTTTTCTTCCTCTTTCTAGAGTCATGTTCCTGTGCTGTGCTTATAATTTTAGTCGTCATTGAAACAATCGCCAGAAATTAATAAGCCAGAAACCCTTTTTACGAAGCGTGGCAATTTTCAAAATCTTCATTTTGAATTCCAGGAAAACCTTTGATAATTGGCGGCAATAGTAAACAAATTGCAATGCAGGTGTAATTTGGCACCCATAGCTGGAGCTTCAAAATTCTTGGATTATAATTCTGATGTACCTCAAAACTCAAAGAACATCAAGAGGCGCATGACTACGGTGTCGTTCGCTGCAGCTTCTAGTAGGGTTTTTCTTCCCAATTCATGGGGACTTTAGCGACAAAATCATCGGCATGCAGTGCTTGATAATTTGAAGCGGTAATCGCTCAGTAACTTTGTAAGGTTGATGTGTAATCACAATCGATCTTCGAAAGCTTTAAATGAGTTTGTGCAATTTACGACTTCGCAAAAGTGAAGACTTATGTAAAAAGTTAATAGGAAAATACGAGAAAATCAACGAATAAATAAATTATTCATTGATAGAATAGTAAAGTCAATTGGAGATGCCAAAAGATTGCATTATATTACCTTTGCTTGTGCTATCTGACTTCTATCGAAGCTTTTCCAAAGTTTAAAAATTATTTTGAAAACTTGCCAAATGTGGACATGATAGAAACAGTGGTTTCGATGTTTGGGCGATCAACTACAAGGGTAACCGGTTCAGTAATAAAAACCGTTAAAAGAGGAAGAAAAGCTGCGTCGGATAATGTTTGGGACGTTTGTCTGCTTTTATTCCACTGTTTTTTTTTCTCAAGCATTAGCTTTGCCCAATCACGAAATATTGTAATCAGCCTGACAAGCTAAAGTAGACGATCGAAATGTGCAAACTTCGCATTCTGTACAACTACAAGTGATCTTGATAAGGTTGATCATGATTGATCCACAAGTAACAACAGAATGAGCGTTACTATTTGTGCTTGCGGATGGTTCTCATTCCATCCGACTTTCGCAGATGGTGGTTGGCAATCTTGCTTTATGTGCAAGCCTTCTGATCGAAGCATGTAGGGTTTCTTGCATTTCGTTGAAAATTCGAAGATTACGCTGGCCATTTAGGGGCCGATACTGTTTGCTATGTCAGGCAACCTGTTGATCTGACGAACAAAACGAACTGCGACGTTTTAAATCTGGACACATATGCGAACGACTCCTTATCACTTGATTCAAGACTTTTTGATGTCAGTTTAATTTCTCTCATGATGTGTTAAGACCAGCACAAATACGACGAACTTTTGACAAAAGTTCTTGCGGCTCCCTCGAAACTACTCGAACAATAAACTATACGGAAAAGGGAAATCTTGACTGATATGACGATTTTTACAAAATATCGGGATTTCTAGCTAGTAACCTGAATCTTGGACTTGAAAGGTGGTGATTATGAGGGAAAAATGCTAATGCTAATTGGTTCTACCAAATGCGCGTAGTCTGCTCCAATGGATTCACCACCGCAGTCAAGAATACTTTGTTGGACTATGGGACCGTAGCGGTGGTGCACTCAGGGTTTCTTTCGGGCGGGGGGGGGGGAGGGAAGTGACGGAAAAAAATTCCGGAGGATGCATCACGTCGGCCACGCCCTTCAGAAAATTTTCCGAGTTTCCCAACGGTCCATACCTCGAAATTTTGGAAAGGGCGTGCCCCCAAATGACTTTTTATTCCAAGGCTGATTTGTATTTTCAAAATTTTTTTAGTCATTTACAAGTAAAAACAAGTCACTTGCACATTTTCACACTACGTGTAAGGAACTTTCAAAATTTGGCAATCTTCTCCGCCCCTTCCGTTATACGCCACTGAACCGTAACCCCCCCCCCCTCCCCGTTACTGGAACTCAGCTGAGGCAGACATAAGTTGATCAGCTGAAGCAGACATAAATTGAATTGACGTCCCCTCAGCGCAGTAACAAGATTACTATCGATTTCGGCGGGGACCGCTATGTAGTCAAAAATACCGTATGGTATGTGTTCGCGAAGTGAAGCATTTGTGCGTGTTTGCCCTTTGCCAGTGAAAGTGAGCCGTCATAATCAGTGCGGACGAGCAGCGGCCTTCTATTTAGTATTTTGCGGTTGGACATCCAGGTTCCGGTCAGCCGAAAGAAGGACGGTTGCAGTGACTTGAGTCTCGGGTCGACTGCTGTGTGAGTAAAGAATCCCTCGGTTACTCAACTATAGTGTACCAGTGCGTCACCTCTGCTTCGCAGAGGCTCGCACTGGCTCTACTATCTATGTGCCTTACTCATTCTCGTAAAATCGTGGCTCACCGCGCTATGCCGACTACCACAAATAAAATGTAAACAACTACTCATTTAGAAAGTGTTTTCGCGTGAGATCGGTGATTTCGCGTGGATGAAACTTTTCGCAGGAAGACAAACGCAAATTTGAATAGGTTTTGGATTTTTCATGGCTTGGTAGTCGCCATAAAAGCAATAGTAACCGTGAGCTAAATCCCTGTGCGAAAATCTTCTTAAATGCTTGGCTAGAACCTTGGCAAATTGACCATTTACGCAACCAATTCTTTTGGCTCCGTTTACGTTATGTAGTAAACTTTTGACCACTTTTCAAGCTAAAGTCCATCGCTTGCACTTTTGCTTACCAACCACATCCTCGTCTTTGCAAAAAGTGGTGATACGGACCCAATTTTGCGGCACGGAAGCCAGGTGGACCCGTTTGGTGCGCAATTTCTGAAAGATTCACTCAACGAATCTACTCATGCTTTTGCATGTTGGACTTTCATGAAGGGTAGCATGCGCTGTGCAGAATTTGGGCTTAGAACGCTGGCTAGAACACGCTCTACGAATTTCATAACACACACACACACACACACACACACACACACACACACACACACACACACACACACACACACACACACACACACACACACACACACACACACACACACACACACACACACACACACACACACACACACACACACACACACACACACACACACACACACACACACACACACACACACACACACACACACACACACACACACACACACACACACACACACACACACACACACACACACACACACACACACACACACACACACACACACACACACACACACACACACACACACACACACACACACACACACACACACACACACACACACACACACACACACACACACACACACACACACACACACACACACACACACACACACACACACACACACACACACACACACACACACACACACACACACACACACACACACACACACACACACACACACACACACACACACACACACACACACACACACACACACACACACACACACACACACACACACACACACACACACACACACACACACACACACACGTAAACAACCCTTAGCACGTCATTATAAGGTTTTGATAGAATTAAGGACCTAGGATCGCTCGCAACCCGGTTTCATTAGCAGCTAGTCCGAAACCCTTATTTTTTGCTTCAGCAGTATCTTTGGCTGACCCGCAAATGACCAGTTGCAATGGTGAAGTAAAAACCGCTACTCGTCCGCTTCAAGTGTATTAATGCCGGAGCCGGCTCGTGATACCCTTTTCATTTCAGTCTGACTAGCTGCCTTTCCCGGCCTTGGCTTTCGTGGGTCCTCCATTGAATCGTGTGCTTTTCTCGTAGCCCAAAGAAGTGAGCATTGTCCTTATCTTTATCACACCTGGCAACTCCGGCTTCCTTATTCTCTTCAGTAAGCTCCAGAGACCTTTCCCTTTCTCATCTAATCATCGTGCTGTGCAAGGATTTGTTAACCAACACTAGCTCACTCGCTCTATGGGTGGGTTGGTACTGATTCAAAAGTTCCGCAACAGTTACAGCACAGTGCTCGAACTGTGCACAGCGGAACTGTGCCGCATGTGCTGCAGCCGCCGTTTGGTATGTAAGCGGCGCGAAGTAGCAATTTTCGATTTTCTTCAAAGGTTTTCATTTTCAATCGTTTTCGCATTATTATTGCGTCTCACTTGCTCTCACTGCGAAAAAAGAGAGGGTGCAAGAATGAGCGGTTCGTTGTTCATATTAGGCTGACAAGGAAACTTACACCGCTTCCATTCGTATACACTCTCTCAGGTTGGGAGTTGTTTCATGTAAAGCGGAATAATAATCAAGAAATGACGAGAAGCAGGATGGGTTATGAAAGGAAGTGGGGCTGAAACGCCAGCCATCAAGTCTCATCAAATCACAAAAAAAATCTCTCCGCGATCGTGATGATATTATATTCAGTCCTCTCTGAAGAGAACTGATGCGAGATTCCGAATTACAAAAAAAGTTTATAGAAAATCAGCTGACGCATGCACACGCCCGCACCGTGGAGTTTAATTAGCTCATCAAAGAGCAAAACTATTGCGATCCTGAAGGCTTGCCTTACAGTATTCCGGATTTTCCTATCTCGTGTAAGTGTGCCTCCCGGCGGCAACGTTTTGCGTCACCTCATTTTTCGCTTCGTTAAATGAAAATGAGTTCTACCGCTGTTGTTTACGTGGAAATGGAAGTGGTGTGATATAATTGATAAAGTTCATTTCCCCTCAAAATCGATAAATCAATAGAAGGAGTGCGAATTCGACCGCGAAAAGAAGCCAACGAAATGAAGCGGTGTCGAAAACATATACATGCGAAGTTTCGCGCGATCGGTTCAAAACAAAAATTTCTATAACGAACACACTAACTAACAATTTACCACTCAGCTTTATATATAGGGTGTCCCAAAAAAATGTTTCGAACGTTTGATCGTTAATATCTCTCTTCCCAAGAAGTCTTTTGCCTTGCTTCAGATACCGTTTTGTAGAGCTGGCTTCAACTTAGACTTGCATTTTAAAACGAATCACCCATCTCTCTTCATTAGTGTAGGATTACGGTAGAAACTTGAAACATATGATGTCAATATGGAAAAAGCTGCCTTTTCAAAAATTTTCAAAATAATGTGAAAACATGTGTAATAGGGTTTATAGACGCTGAGTTCAATGCTCAACTATTCACAAGATTACGAAGCTTTCTAAACGGTTTAATCGCACTTTTTAAGAACATTGAAAAAATGGCCGCTACTTCTTACCTGGCATAACTCTTCAATGAAGCATCATAACAAGTTGGGAACTTTACAGTTGTAATCAGCAACTCTAATTAGCCTAGTTTAAAAGTTTTCAGGCTGTTTTGTTTCTTTTTTGGGGCAAAATATGGCCTTTCATGGCTCAAAACCCTCTTTGAAGTTTCTACCGTAATCCTACAGTAATGAAGAGAGATGGGTGATTTGTTTTAAAATGCAAATCTAAGTTGAAGCCAGCTCTACAAAACGGTATCTGAAGCAAGGCAAAAGACTTCTTGGGAAGAGAGATATTAACGATCAAACGTTCGAAACATTTTTTGGGACACCCTGTATGTGTCTATAGGCGATTTCCGTGCGTATAGCGGGCGTGGCTCTGCACACATTTGAACACGGAAAACTTGTTGAGCCTTTATTTTGAAGCATTAGTTTTTGTATTATCTCGCTATCAAAAGCTGCCACGCGAATACGTGAGCAAACGTCGGCAAAGCTCCGCCCGTTATATTGTGGGGAATGGACGTTACCAGTGCGTCACCTTGCATCGCAGAGGTTCAACTGGCTCGACTATTCGTATGCTTTCCTTGTGACTGCACAATAATGACTTGGAAACTCACCGCGCAATGTTGAAGATTACAAATGAATTGTAAAGAACTGCTCATTCTCAAAAAATTTTCATGTAAAATCGTGATTGTGGGAAAAAAACGTTTACGTGAAAGAACAAATGCGAATTTGGATTTACCGGATTTAATTCAACATCATTGTTCCCATAAGGGTGACCTTATGGGCTACATCTCTATGCAAGATTTTTTGCGACATTGCGAAAATTCGAAATGGCGGCCCAGTTTCGTGTGCCAGAAGCCGAGTGGACCCGCTCCAGGCGCCATTTTCAAAGGATCCTTCCATCGGATCCACACGCCACTATGCAGGGTGAGCCTAGGCGCTTCCAGCATACACTGAGCAAAACTTTAACTTGAGACCTTGGCTGCAATTCGCTCTACGAATTTCGTGACAGACAGATATACACACATGGAGAGGCAGACTCTTAGCGCTTTAAAGAGACAAATGAACATTTGAAAAAAGTCAAAAGTTGCTATTTCGAGCAGCTCAAAACCGCATGCTGGCGGCTGCAGCGCATGCAGCACAGTTCGGTCGGGGAACTGGAAACTTCTGGATCAGTATGAACCCAGCCTATGGCTAGCCTTGAAATATCCTTCTCACTAAGAATTCAGATGAGCTTTGCGACGTCGTTTACAGGACGTGGTAGGGACCCGTTAGCGGTGATAAAAAACGCAGTCCCATTAAAAGTGCCAAAACACAGTAGTTAGGTCCCGCACTGGAAACAGAAGAGCACGCCGTCTTTCCCGCAACCATGCCCACCCTACTCAGATTCGTCCTTTTCTATAACATGCTCAACGTCTAAGCAGAGCGGGCGAAAAAGTGCTAGGACTGAAATTTCTCCATTCACACAGAATACTTTTTACTTAAAATGCTTTACTGTATGAAAATGTCTTAATGCTGACCAAATGCTTTCAGGCGTGGAAAAATGCCTAGTTTATGTTCGCCAACTTAACGCAATGTTTGAGCGAAAAGCCATTAGGGTTCGAGCAGGTAGGACTGTAATAGCCTTGAGACAGCCTTTCGTCATGAAAAGATTTCGGCACTCGTTCATAATTTTGGTAAAGTGTTTATCTCTGAGCTTCATGCTTTATAATCATAACGTTGCCGTTGCCAATAAGCTACTGATCAAGAGCTCTCCCCAATACTTGCACCAAAAAATCGTGCATTATTCAAACATTGGAACCAAGCCTTTGAGTTTTAGAAAATCTGGGAATTGATGAGCAGGTGTAGCAGAAACCTGCTCAGTTAACATCTAAAATTGAATTCATGTAAAATTTTGAAGATATAGTAACCGTTACACATTTTTTAATAGTTCCAGCAGAACCGTGGAATCTAAAAATGGCGTAAAGGGAAGAGGGTGTCCCTCCCCCCCCCCCCCCCCACATCCCCAAGAAGGGTTTGAAAACTATGTACAGTTATAAAAATGTGCAAGTGACTAATTGACACGTGTAACAAATAGAATGATTTTGAAAATTTTTAAAGATTTATTAGCCTATGAAATTTTTTTTCGGAGCGTGGCCCACGCCACGCTTCCTTTTTCTCTTCGGCGTTATAGCTCGCAAAAATTTTGGGAATGATCCCAAAAAAGTGCGTGTGGTTAACGCCACGCACCTTCATCCAAAAAAATCCCCCTCCCCCCCCCCCTCCAACCGAACGGAGATCCTGCTGTGCACTGCTACTGTAGGTAGTAGTATTAGGTATAGCAGCTAAAATAGCCACTCTGTTTGGCAGTTTCTAAAATTCTTTGTGGCGAATTCAGAAAGTTTTCATTGCATTCTTTGAAGACATTTGGAATGTCAGTAACCTGCGACCGTTCTCCTCGTTTGTTGATCAACGTTGCGATTTACAGTACATCAGCAAGTTCAAGGTGTACGAAAAGTTTTTGTTGAGACATACGACTTTGGAGAAGTTTACTGCCCAAAAGGAAATAAGACTAAAACCAAGTTGGTCTATTGGAAAGAGTTCTTCTTCTTATTGTCAAGTTCAGAAACGTGGCTGTCTATTACGGAAAACTCTCATTTGTTAGAGCTTCCAAAGTTTGTATGGGACGATGATGCGAAGGTTTCGATCTATGTAAAGGACAATCACAAACTTGACACTACTCAACTCAGGAAAATGCTGAAATCGAGAAATGTTGACGAAGCGGATGTGCAACATCCTTTCGGTGAGTAATATACATTTACATTAAATGCTCATTTGTGCTGATTCGAAGCGTTTGAGGAGCATGGAACGGAGATTCCAAACCTGTTGCCTTATGGCCGCCACTTTCGCTTCGCGCTGAAGACTTTATGGCAGCCTTCTCGCTGCCAGTTCTAGCAAAGTTTCTCAGCGGGACGCGAAAGTGGCGGCGATATGCCCCGGGCAGACTTCACGCGATTTGATCTCGCGACTGAATCGCGATGAGACAACTGTTACAACATCATTCCATGCCGATCAACTTGCATTCGGTCGTGATACTTTTCCAGCCCGAAATTTTTGAATGTGAAATGAAAACGAATGGAAATCTTGGCGATTAGATCGCGACGATTAATTCGCGTGAAGTCTGTCCGGAGCCATAAGGCAAAGGCGCTTTTGGTGGGGCCGGCTGAGAGCCTTTGATTGTCTAAGAAGTAAGAAGGACATGAAATCAGGAATGACCTTTGTAACAAAACTACCAAATTATCTACAAAAATTGCCATCTCTGATTAAAACGTACTTCAAACATTCAACATACCAGCTCTCCAGAACTCCAATTCTTTTATCCACTTGCCATTCCGCAGAAGGCAGGTTGCTGCTTGATGAAAAGCGCCAAGTCCAAAATCTGCCTTACCCCGCAGCCAAAAGCATGACCGCGAGCGGCATGACCCGAACAACTGTGCGCATCTACGTCCCATATTTGTGGTTGGTTCACTTAAGGGAGCGCTTTGCAATAAGAGCAGGATCGCGCCGGCAATGAATCTTTTCATGAACTCTACAAGTTTATAAGAGAAAGTACGTTGTTTTCTGCTAGTATGAAAACGTTCCCTGTCCATGTATGATACTTGAAAATCATTCCATGAGCAAGGCCTCGGATGTAACTTAGACAGCACCCGGCTGAAACAATAACGGCCTCAGCTAGTTCCGGGAAAGTGTAATGCTCGAGCTCGATCGATATATTAGGTTGATTCATAATTAATGCACGTTTTTCCTACCTCTTATTCCAAGAGCTGGTATTTGATTGTAATCAATTTCCTCAAAAGCTTTTTACACTATCTAAAAAAGCGTTTTTTATAGTTTCTTAAGCGATCTTCGCTTTTGTAAATCTCCGTTCATCCTCAAGTTGTGAGCCTTCAAATGAAAGAGACTAAATCCCAAAAATTTTGCTTTTCACTCTTTTTGCCCTAAATCCATGAGGAATAGCCGCATTGATTTTAAAAAATATGCAAAAGGATTGGGAAACTTTATGCTACAAGATGCTATTTTAACAAAATTTTCCATGGATTCCGAACCAAGAAATTCAACTGCGAACTTGAATGATTGTTGCGGCCCTTCCGTGCCATATAAATCTTTGAAGCAAAAGGCGATTGCAGATCTTTCGCACTATCCAGCAAGGGTAGACCTAGCTCATTTAATGGTAGAAAAGCGCTAGGATTTTCTCGCTTTCCAGCGAAGAAAAATGAAATAATTTCAAAAATGACCGATTTTTGAACCCGCTGAGATGGCAGAAAAAAGTGAGTACTTTTGAGTTTTTCGCGATATTTTCTTTCAAAAATTATCCGTAAAATCCAAACTTGGCAATACTGCTCAAGAGAGCTTTGATTACACGATGAGTGAAGTCTGCTTTATCCTACTTCATTTCAACATAAGTTATGCTTTCTCAAAGTAGAGGCTTTTGAAAAAAGTTGTTGGCAATCTTCAGGTCAGAAATTCTTTCTTGTAATAGATACACTCACGCAAAAGTATCTGTTTTATAGCCACTGATTTGGTGGTTACGGTAGTTTTTATCTAGTTTTTATTGCGCCCAGAAATGTCTTTTGAAAAAAGAAATATCTCGGCTGAAAGTTGAAGTATAGAAAACGTGCATTAATCATGAATCAACCTAATATTTTACAGAGATACTAGAATTAAAACCTACGATGATGAGAGACAAACTTCAAGATAGTTTGCTATGTTGCGACTATTTTTTGATAAATACGCAATCAAAGCTTACAAGGGAAGGATACCAACATTAGTTGGCAATTGAAGATGAGATGTATACTAGTAGACGCGCCTTTGAACGCTGATTCCAAATCTGCTTTCCTTTTTTGCGGAATAAGTTTCCGAAAAAAGTTGTGGGCGTTTAAATGTCTAAATTTGTCAGGGTTTAGGTGGCCTAAGATTGGCGAAAAGCTGTATAAAAGCACCGGAAAGCGGAAAATCATTTTTGTATCGAGTATATTGCTTGCAAGGAAGGAACAAAGCCGGTGGAAATCGCATAGGTGTTGTTTCAGAACTTTTCGCTGATTTTAAGCCACTCAATGCTTGGCAAATCTGGACATTCAAACGCTCATAACTTTTCATCGGTAAGTAATTTCCACGTACTCTCTTCTTTAAACCTGGGCATGATGTATCGAATATTGTATAGTGTTGTTCTGCCAACCAGGTTTTGTGGTGGATCTTTATTCTTGACCTTACGTTTCGACAATTACCGTCTTCTTCGGAGGTCTGAAAGGGGATTGCGGTTATATTATTTGTTAGTCTATACGACCAAACGCCTCGTCAGGCTTCCGTCGTTTGAACCTTGTCGAGGCGCAACGTGCCGAGAAACAATCCAAAATGGATTCACCAACCTCTAGTCCACCATTGAGTCAGTAGTCCGCACGAATGTGACGGACATCACTGAGGTTGCTCAGTGAGTCTTGGACTATATATATTGTGCGGTTCAAGGTCACATAGTGACATAAGAGGCAAGAGATCGGCCGTTATTGTCACGCGTTCATTTTTATTGTTCATTCCCGGATTTCCGGCGTGTATCCACGCGGCCTCTAGTAACTTTCGAGCCGAAATTTCAACCTCATGCTCTAGAATTGTACACTTCACACTAAAATCACTCCCATTGTGTGCCTCGAGTTTATGTTTGCCTAACGGTGATGACAGATTTCCTCGTCTTTTGTTAGCCAGGTGTTCTTTTATTCTAACACTTAAACTTCTTCCCGTCTCTCCTATATACGTCGTGCCACAGTCCAGGCATTCCAACTGATAAACAGTCCCTTCTTTCGCGCAATCACCTAGTTTCCCGTAAGGGCAAACGATGCATTCCTCTGATATACAATCTACGTCATACAATCTATTCCTGATCAACCGCTTTCTGATGTTACTACTAGGAATGTTGACCAGCATTACCTCATTATCCAACTGTGCTCGTACTAAACATCGGTTTACTGCCTTACTGAAACTGTCGGAGACAAATGGCATACATAGAGGGACCTTGTTGTCATTGTTATTGCTTCGCATAGGATTACGAATTGCGAGTCGTCTGGATGTTCGCTGACGAGACTGCGCAGAAGTGTAGCCATTGCTGCGAGCAATTTTGGATGCCAGTTGTTGCGACTCGAGTCTTTCGGCTTCGCCCGTGCACACTTCTACAGCGGTCTTATACATATTGTGAATGATAGAACGTTTCAAAGCTGTAGGATGCGCAGATGTAGCGTGGACAAGTATATTTTTAGAGCTTTCCTTTCGGTACCATTTGATTCGAACAGTACCGTCAGACAAACTTATCTGGGTGTTCAAGAAGGAAAGCCAACCACTGCGCGGGGTCTCTCGTGTAAGCTTAATGTATTGCGACTGCTCGTTTAAAATCCTAAAGCATTCATCCATCTCGGACTGCGTGGATGTGACGATGCAGCAGTCGTCGATGTAGCGGCAATACATTAACGGTAATCGTGCGAGTACTGGCTCCTCAATCTTGCTCATGTAACAGATCGCGAGAACTGGGGCGAGTCTTTGACCCATCGCAAGCCCTCTAGTCTGAGAATAGTAATTTCCCGACCACTTAAATATGTTACAATTCAAGCATTCCTTAATGAGGAGCAGTATGCACGCTTTGCTCAGGCCAAAGGTTGCCATGGTGGAGTGGTATTCATCCAGCATCTCCGACAGAGCTTGTAGAGCGTCGTTGTTTTGAACGTTAGTGTATAGTGACGTTACGTCAAAGGTCTCGACAACACTACCAGGTTCAAAATTCATGCTCCGTAGCTGCTGTACGAAATGTTGAGTGTTGGACAAATGGGCGGGCACTTTGGCTAAGAGCTGGCTTACAATCTTATTTAGAAACCAAGATATTCGATCAGTCGGTCCACTTACGCAGCTTATTATAGGGCGGATCTTATATGACTGTGGTGACATCGACTGTGATTCGCTCGCCGCTAACTTGTGCGTCTTAATCAAATGGTAGAAAACTGGACACCTCGGGTTATCCACTTTCAATCTGTTGATAAACTTTCTATCAAGACCAGCAGACTTTGCCACTTTCATCCAAGCACTATTCAGTTTTCTACATTGCGCTTTATACTTTCGTTCAGTAGCGGGTTGATAAATCGTAGTATCGGAAAGATGCAATTTTGCGATTTCTCGATCTAACGATTGTGGCATCACTACGAATTCATGGCCTTTGTCACTTATGGAGATTCGGATCGACTTTTCTTCCACTAATTCACGCACTTCTTTGTAACCTTGCCACTGCTCTTTCGTCAAGTTAGTTTGTTGAACTCGCTTAAATCTATTCAAAACTTGCAGTATTTCAGTCGTAAAAAATGCGGAATTTCGTGTCAATAGTAGGCACCGGCTCGGACTCTCTATAAAAAGATCGAGGAAACGGTATGGATGGCAATAACTGTCTCACCGTTGGCAACAATTGCTGGGTACTTTCTCGTCTAGCTTTGAATCGTAATAGATCTCGCAGGTGATACAAGTTACCCAATATTTTCCGGCACATCATAGTACTAACATTTTGTGAAGGTGAGAAAGAGGGACCGAGATCAAGAAACTGGACGGCGCGCGCTGATAACTGTATATTACCAATAACGGTGACTCTTGCATCAACGTCATTTGGACCGGATATGTCAGTAGAGTGGTGGTTCTGAGGATGGTTACTCACATTGTCTTCATGTTTCTCACGCAGTGCTTCCGCGAGTTGGTTGAACTTTCTGCGAAGTCTTGACTTAG